TTGAGATGAAGTCTCATTCTGTTACCCAGGCTGGAGTGCAGTGGCATGATCTCAGCTCACTGCAACCTCTGCCTCCGAGTTCAAGTGATTCTCCTGCCTCTACCTCCCTGACAGCTGGGATTACAGGCATGCACCACCATGCCTGGCTAATTTTTGTATTTTTAGTAGAGATGGGTTTCACCATGTTGGCCAGGCTGGTCTTGAACTCCTGACCTCAGGTGATCCGCCCACCTTGGCCTCCCAGAGTGCTGAGATTACAGGTATGAGCCACTGAGCCTAGCCAAGGTTCTATTATATGTGAAGTGGTATTACCCGAAGGTAGACTGTGTACACTTGTATATGAATGTTCATAGTAACTTACGTATGACAGCCAAAAACTGAAACCAACCCAAATGTCTATCAATAGATAAATGAATGAATAAGCAAATTGGGATATATTCATATAATATAATACTTGCAATAAAAAGAAATTATATGTTGATATACACAATAAAATGGATGAATCCCAAAATAATTATACTAAAGGAAAGAAGCTAGACCAAAAAAAAAAAAAGAATGTATCCTATATGATTACATTTGAATATATCCTATATGATTACATTTATATAAACCTCCAAAAGATATAAACTGATCCACAGTGACAAAAAAACAGATCAGTGATTGTATGGGTATCAGATGGGACAAGAGAGTTACAAAGAGGGCACAAAGAAACTTCTGGAAGTGATGGATATTTTTATTGTGGTGATGGTTTCACAAATGTGTATCAAAACTTATTAAATTGCACACATTAAATAGGTGCGGTTTATTACACATGAATTATTCTTCAATAAAGCTGCTTAAAAAATACTTTTGGACTTTAAGTTAAGAACAAAAAGATTTAGATAACTACAGTGCTCTGACTCCACACAGTAAAAATAAACAGATGTTTTAAGTGGAAGCTAGAATGGCATATTTAAATTTTTTTTAAAGTTAGAATGAATCATAAACACCAATCAAATACTTTCTCATTAGAGATAAAAGAATCAAGTCCCAGAGTGGTTTGGTGACTTGCCTGAAGTCTTACAGCTATAGTGAATACTTCACTAAACTAAGATCCACAATAACAGAGATTGTGCTATTTAGGTCACCAGAGTATCCCCAACACCTAGTACAATGCCTGGGACACAGAAGAAGCTTAATAAACATTTGCTGACTAATCTTTCCTATGGAAAGAAAGGTAAAAAGGATGATAAAAAGAAAGAAAATATCCTTTGCTATATGACTGAAAGTTTCTCCATATGTTTGATTCTCCAATCTCTAACAGAGACAACAGAATTAAGTAGTACCTTTAATATAATAAATACAAGGAAATAAGTTATATTTCCTATTTTTGCTTACTGAAAACTTTATTCTAACACTTAAAATTTTTTCACTCATATTACCAACACTTGAATAAGCAGAAAATTAATAGAAAATACCCTATTCATGCAGATTAGTGAATTTTTCAAATTAATAGAAAATTTAAAGGAAAAAACTTACCAAAAATTTCTCCATTTTTGGCATATTCTGTCACAAGGTACAACATACTTTTGGTCTCCATAACCTATTGATAAACAATTCCATATTAGTCTGACAGAAATGTACTTAATTTTCCACAATATTCTATGGAGTTACCTAACTGAAACTACTAATAAAAGAATCACAATTATGAACAATTCAGAAGATGGCTAAGTTTATAAGCCTGACAATATCCTTATGATTAATATGTTTGTGAAAAATTGAGATCTTTGCTCTTGTAAGTGTGGTTCATGGACCAGCAGTAGTAGCACTACTCAACCACCTGTAAGAAATTCAGAATTCCAGGCCCCATCCCAGACATACTGAAATGCAATTTACATTTTAACAAAATTGCCCAGTGATTTTTATGCACATTAAAGTTTGAGAAGTGTAAGTATAGATAATAGGAGTTTTGAATATCAACTTTTCAACATCTCCTCACTGACTTTTCTGGTTCTATGTTATCATGGTAGATTCTGATTAAAAGAAGAATAGAATAATTTAGTTCACCTGGCCTGTAGCCTAGCTAATCTGGCACAATGTGACATTCCTTATACTATACTTTAATATTGTTACAAAGTACTCTAATTTAAAAACATTGTTGAAAAGTTTCATATTCATAGCTCTACTGTTAAATACTTTTATTTAAATTCATTTTTCTAGATTCAGAAGGAAGTGTGTTATCGTCATAAATTTGATTTTTCAAACAACATTAAACAGATATCTATTTAAAAAGAAAATAAGGCCGGGCGTGGTGACTCATGCCTATAATCCCAGAACTTTGGGAGGCCAAGGCAGGTGGATCACTTGACGTCAGGAGTTCGAGACCAGCCTGGCCAACATGATGAAACCCTGTCTCTACTAAAAAATACAAAAATTAGCCAGGTGTGGTAGTATGTGCCTGTGATCCCAGCTACTTAGGAGGCTGAGGTGGGATAATTACCCGGGAGGCAGTGGTGGTAGTAAGCTGAGATCACACCATCGCAGTCTAGCCTGGGTGACAGAGCATAACTCTGTCTCAAAATATATATATATAAATAAAAAGGAATGTTTAGATTCAAGATGAACAATTTTTAGAGTGCTTCTCTGTTACACTCTAACTGCTATCTACTGAAAGAAAGAAAATTAATTTTGTTTTAAGATGTAGGTTTAAGACTATTCTCCATGAGGCCAGCAAACTAAGAACTACCTACATGTTGGGCCTAAACAAATCAGTAAATCAATAATAACCAATTAGTTCCCTCAAACAGATAGAATTATTATGTGAATTATGTTAGTTTGATCCTTAGTTTAGTTTATGCTTAATCAGAGACTTTGAAGAATATAATTAATTTCTTAGAAGTGTCTTCTTTAGGATTAAAAAAAAAAATGGCTAGGCATGGGTGGCTCATTCTTGTAATCCCAGCACTTTGGGAGGCCAAGGTGGGAGGATCACTTGAGCCCAGGAGTTTGAGAACAGCCTGGGCAACACAGTGAGATCCTGTCTCTGCAGAGAACATAAAAAAATTAGCCAGGTATAGTGGCATGTGCCTATAGTTCCTGCTACTTGGGGAGGGGCTGAGGCAGGATGATCTATGAGCTCGAATGTGCAGTGAGCTATGATTGTGCCACCTCACCCCAGGATGGGTGACAGAGCAAAACTTTTTCTCTAAAAAAAAAAAAAAATTGGTAATGATTTTAAAGTTTAAAGGGAGAAGTAATCGGAATTATTTATTTATTTATTTTTAGAGATGGGATCTCTGTGTTATCCGGGCTGAAGTACAGTAGCTATTCACAGGTGCAATCGTGGTGTACTACAGCCTGGAATTCCCTGGCTCAAGAGATCCTCCTGCTTCAGCCTCCCTCGTAGCTGGAACTACATGTCACTGCACTGTGCTAATCTGATATAAATTTGACCTAAGAGGCCTCTATAGTTTTAGAATTTTTAGGAAATGCTTTGAATGGCACATCATAGTCTCTCATTCTCAGGTGGCATATCATAAGCCAATGGTCTTCACATTTTTTAAATTGAAAATCTCTATCAATAAAAGTTGTTTACAGCAGGGGCTGCCAACCAGGCCACACCGTGAAGCTTCACCTGTATTTACAGTCGCTCCCCATTGCTCGGATTACCATCTGAGCTCTGTCTCCTGTCAGATCAGCAGTGGCATTAGATTCTCATAAAGTGTGACCCCTATTGTGAACTGCACATGTGAGGGATCTAGGATCTGTACTCCTTATGAGAATCTAATGCTGAGGTAGCAAAATTGCCTTCCACGAAACTGGTCCCTGGTGCCAAAAAAGTTGGAGACCCCTGCTTTAGAGCGAAGCACACTGTCATACACTTGTAGTCCTAGCTGAAGCAGGGGGATCCTTTGAGCCCAGGAGTTCAAGGCCAGTCTAGGCAACAACAGTGAAACCCTCTCTCTAAATAAAATAAAATACAATAAACATGATTCCTATGGGAATCCATTAAAAACAAAGTTGCCGGCTGAGCGCAGTGGCTCATGCCTATAATCCAAGCACTTTGGGAGGCCAAGGTGCGTAGATCACCTGAGGTCAGGAGTTCGGGACCAGCCTGACCAACAAGGTGAAACCCCATCTCTAGTAAAAATATAGAAATTAGCTGGGTGTGGTGGCAGGTACCAGTAGTCCCAGCTACTTGGGAGGCTGAGACAGGAAAATCGCTTGAACTCGGGAGGTGGAGGTTGCAGTGAGCTGAGATCCTGCCACTGCACCCCATCCTGGGTGACAGAGAGAGACTCCGCCTCAAAACAAATAAACAAAGTTGCCAAATATATGTGTATATATATACACACACGACATATATGGTGACACATGTATATTTACACACACATTACGTACATGTGCCACTGTAAAATGTTATGTATATTATAAAATACACACAAGAAAACAAATATAAAAAATAAACATAACTAGAGGTTTAATATTTTCTTCTCATACTCCCAAGGACATTTGTGCTAATCCATCTGAATGCACATACTGGTGTGCCAGTAAACCAGCTTTCTGACAAAAAATAAAAAGGCCCTGATTGGTAAGCCAATTACTGTGATGTAAATATTCCCACCAATGAGCATTTTGAGCTACTAATATCATGTTAATTGGCTTGCAAAGCTTCTGAAAGTTTAACAATCAACTCTCAACAAGCCGGTACAGGCTGAGTCCAGCACACCATGAGTGTACACATCACACTCTGGAGATCAAAGTCATGAGCCAGGATACTAGAACATTTCAGCTTAAAAAGAGATTTTCAACAGAAAAATTCTGCATGTTAAGAAATACATTTTTTTCAATATTTTGTACTATATTATCCTCCTTAAACATGAATTACTCTTTAAAAATCTGAGAAAAAGGCTCCTTTTAAAAACCATGGATGGTTGGTGGGTGCACTAAAAGCCCAGACTTCACCATCACGCAATATATCTGCGTAACGAAACTGCACTTGCACCCCCTAAAGCTGTGAAAAACAACAAAAAACCTGAGGGCTTACACTTAAAATGGTGCATTTTACAAAAATTATTATAACAAAGTTGATTTCTTAAAAAACAGAAAATTTATTTTCTCTACTAAAATAAGCCAAATAACTAAACAAATATAGTCCTATCTATTACAAAGTATGCCACTGAATAATACACTAGTTTAGCCATTGCATTTTTATAAAACATATTCTTTTTAAATAAGCAAACTGCCATATCTTCATTAGGCAGTAGCACCAAAATCCTGCCGTTAAAATGCAGGGTATCATAAATATACAATTGCAAACTTCTTTTTTTTTTTTTTAAGAGACAGTGTCTAACTTTCTCACCCAGGCTAAAGCGTAGGGGTATCATCATAGCTCACTGCAACCTCAAGCAATCTTCCTGCCTAAGCCTCCCAAGTAGCTGGGACTACTGGTGTGCACCACCACATCAGGCTCGTGTGTGTGTGTGTGTGTGTGTGTGTGTATTTTTTTTGGTAGAGATGGGGTTTCACCATGTTGCCCAGGCTTTTCTCAAGCAATCTTCCTTCCTCAGCCTCCCAAAGTGTTGGGATTACAGGCTTAAGCCATCATGGTTGGCCCACACAGCAAACTTTTAAAACAACTTGCAGTCTGTGAGATAACTTAAGATTTCTGATTTTTAAGTTTAAAGACAATATAGAAAAGTGGATGTACTCAGTTACAAAAGGCATACATTTATTTTCTTTCATTGATTAAAAAAACAAATATAAGAAGAAAAATCATGATACAAAGTAGAGAACTATTTTGTGGAATGAATGGAGACAGTGTCAGGCTGAGTCATACCTGATAAAGTTTGATGATGTGAGGGTGGTCTAACAGTTTCATTATTTGTACTTCTCGGTAGATTTTCTCAAGGTTCACTGCATCCAGCTGAGACTTATCGATTATTTTTATTGCCACCTGCATCCCAGAACACAATTAAATACAATTAGTATACAAAAGTTAACATTTTCTAGTTAAGAATCCTGTCAATAAGTGACATGAGGTTTTACCTGTAGGTTCCTGACCCTGATGATAGCGAGTTTAAATTCAATGCTCATTCATTCAACAAATATTTCTTAAACTAATACCATGTGTAAGGCAGTAGATGTTGTTTGGCAGTGTCTTCAGTGTGCTATGAAGAATAACTCTGCAAGGTTACTTTAAGAAAACATGTTTCACTTTTAGTACTATGGTAATGTCTTTTTACTTCTGTACAAACTGAAAAAATAAAATCTTTATTTTATTAAATTAGGAGCTATATCAACTAGTTATCATCCCACTGTAAAATATCTATAAGCAAATAATCAGCAAAGTAGAAGACAGTTCAGAAGATAGTTTCTGTTGCAGTGAAATACTATTTTTCTAGAAAGGCAAGTGATAAGTTTCAAAGAATATAGACAAAAAGCTGAATATAAAATATTGAAACTCAACCAGACACGGTGGCTCACATCTGTACTCCCAGCATTTTGGGAGGCCAAGGCAGGTCAATCCCGAAGTCAAGAAATTGAGACCATCCTGGCCAACATGGTGAAACCCTGTCTCTACTAAAAATACAAAAATTATGTGGGCGTGGTGGCATGTGCCTGTAGTCCCAGCTACTCGGGAGCCTGAGCCAGGAGAATCATTCGAGCCCAGGAGGCAGAAGTTGCAGTGAGCTGAGCTCGCACCACTGAACTCCAGCCTGGTGCCAAATTGAGACGATGTCTCAAAAATAAAAGATCAAAAAAATCAAAACTCACTATTGGATTTTCTTTTAAAAATTGAAGAGCAAAAACTAAAATGTTAGTAACTACACTAAAGTTTAACTTTGTAAAAAGAATTTTATTTCAGAAATTCCAAGGTTAATAATTTGAAGGTATTATATTTGAAGGTAAATGACTAAGTAGGCAGAAATCAATGATTACATGCTTTTTTCATGCAATTAAAAAGAACTAATTTATTAAAATTAGTAGATATTTGGTTGGAAAATATCCTGATTTAAATAAATTTTCAGAGAATTGAGAATCACCCAATAAGTTTTGAAAAAACTCTAAAATGTACTTCAAATTATATCAAAGGGTATTCTAAACATAATTTAGCCTTATGTTATTGTTTCAGGGTAAATTTTTTTTTTTTTTTAATAGAGATGGGGGTCTCTTTATGTTGACTAGGCTGCTCTTGAACTCCTGGCTTCCCTTCTCAGCCTCCCAAAGTACTGGGATTACAGGGCTGAGCCACCACACCTCGCCTCAGGATAACTTTTATTTATTTATTTATTTATTTATTTATTTATTTATTTATGAGATGGAGTCCTATGCCCAGCTGAGGATAACTTGTTAACATCAGCAATTGCACATGCCATGATAGCTCAATGCTTCCAAAACGTATCCAAGAAAATAGGACTCAGCTTGCCATTTCACATAATTCCTTCAGTCTCTTATTTATACAATTACAGTTAACCCTGAACAACATGGGTTTGAACTGCATGGGTCCAATGTCACACAAATTTTCTTCTACCCCGAAGACAGCAAAACCAACTTCTCCTCTTCCTCCTCCTCCTCAGCCTATTCAACGTGAAGATAATAAGGATGGAGACCTTTATGATGATCCACTTCACTTAATAAGTAATAAATATTTTCTCTTCCTTGTGATTTTCATAACATTTTCTTTTCCCTAGCTTACTTTATTGTAAGAATAAAGTATATAATGCATGTAACATACAAAATATGTGTTAATGGACTGTTTATGTTATTGGTAAGGCTTCCAGTCAACAGTAGGTTATTAGTAGTTAAATTTTGGAGGAGTCAGGCTGGGCGCACGCCTGTAATCCCAGCACTTTGGGAGGCCGAGGAGGGCTGATCATTTGAGGTCAGGGGTTTCAGACCAGCCTGGGCAACATGGTGAAATCCTGCCTCTACTAAAAACATCAAAATCAGCCAGGCATGGTGGCAGGTACCTGTAATCCCAGCAACCTGAGCGACTGAGCCAGGAGAATTGCTTGAACCTAGGAGGTGGAGGCTGCAGTGAGCCAAAATCACGCCACTGCATTCTGGACTGGTCAACAGAGCCAGACGCTGTCACGGGGAAAAAAAAATCTGGGGGGAGCAAAATATTATACTTTGAAGTACATGAGGTGGTCAGTTCTCCTAACCTCTGCCTTGTTCAAGGGTCAACTATAATTTTTTTCTTCTTTCCTTGTGGCTGCTCTATCCTTTGCTATTATCTCCTAAAGCTCTATTAAGTTTCATTTCTTACCTTTCTCTGTTTCTAACTTGCGGCCCACAGGTTGTTTCCCGATTTAATGTAGAACTCTCCCAGCTTCCCAGGGGAAATCCAGTTACTAATCAATGTATAAAATTATATGTATTGCCTAAGAATATTATACTTTCAAGTACAAAGCTTCTTCTCTAGGCAGAAAAGGACATGGGTTCTGTGATAGCTGTTTTCATTATGTTTGGTGTTGTTTTAATTATTACCACAATCAAAATATTCTAGAAAGTAAAACTTTGACTGCTAGGTAGGTAGACTGATTAATACTATACTTCCCATTAGAAATATTATTGGACTACCTCAAACCTAAATATATTTAAAGAAACCCTCCCTCAATTAAGAGTATGATACAGTTCATTATTATCCATTACTTTGGGTAACAGCTGCCAGATAAAAGCATAAATGTCTAATTGAATATCCTCAACCAACAAAAAGCTTTTCTAATGAGATGGGTCACAACCATGTAATAGAGACGGAGAGAAGAGATCACGGGTTTTGGAGGGATAGGAATCATGCAACAATTTTATACTGTACATATCCTGAGTATCATATTTAATGGGATTAAAGAGTTTGGATACTAAATATCAATTAAAGCAAGGTATTACCCAGATAAATCTCCTTTTTTATACCTTTTGGAACCTTGGCCTGAAAATGAAAAAGTGAAAAATATATGACATATATTAAAAAGTTAAAAATGTTATCTAATTAAACTTTAATAATAAAAAATTATAAATCTCATTGTTTAACTTAACAACTCTCAAATGATATAATTCTTGCTTCAATTTTATCTTGGGTTACCGACTTTATCCATCTGTCTGTGACCATAAATATATATATATATATATATTTATATTTACATTGCTATCCTTTATTTCTAAGGCTATTAGAACTATTATAAGAGGATTATACTTCTCTAAAGAAAAAGCAGAGCATGAATTAACATGTTCCTTGTAACACGAGTAGTCTAACCGCTTTACCAAATACACCCTAAAACATATGATTCAAACTCAATACAAGTTTATTTCTTGCTCATGTAGCAGAACTAGATGAATGAAGTTGGCGAGCATTTGACGTTCAAAGAGGCTTTAATATCTTTAATGTGTAGCTTCCAAGGTTAACCTGAGCGTGGTCTCCATTCCAGCAAGACAGAAGGAAAAAAGAACTTTGAGGGATCCTCACAGGTGATTTTATGGGCAGGGCCTAGAAGTGGTGCCTATTATTTCTGTTCATTCCATTAGTTAGAACTCGGCATATGACCACACCTTTCTATGCAAAGGAGGCATAGAAATTGTCCAGCTGTAGGCTCAGAAAGAAGAGGAAACAGTAGAGTTTTCAGCTAGCAGTCTCTGCCAAAGTCATTCAGGTAATTTAACAATGGAGCTCTCTATCAAGTACTTCCCAGATATACGTATAATACTAACAATGGCAATGACTTTCACAACTGCACAGCACTTTAAAAAATACTTTAAATTTTACCTCATTTATTTCCAAATTCTGTGAAGTAAATGGAACAAGCAGTATATTCATGAGTTGATGAAACTACTTAAAACTTAAAACTCTAATGAATTAAAGGGGAAAAACCCTAGGTCTTCTAACTCCAACTTCAATCTTTTCACAATTTCAAAGCGTTTCTATTAATAATACATTTACAGACCACCTTTTGTGTGCCAGGAATTATGCCTGGGATATAAAAATATATGAGATTTGATTCCTACCCTCAAAGAATTTAATAGGTCTGTAAGAAGAAGATGAACACATTTTATCAACAAAAAAATCTGTATTTGGGGATTTCCCCAAAGGTGCACTGAAAGTCCTTAATTTGCAAAAGGGTTGTGTTCCAATAGTTCATTTTAAGGATTAGAATAAACTTAGATTTCTAGGAACTTCCTCTCTACATCCCCTCTATTGTTTAGTTCTGAACATAGAACAAGGGACAAAATCTGCATGATAACAAGAAAGTAGGTCAAGAAAGGAACTTCACAAATGGAAAGATCCCTTTTTTTGTTGTTCATCTAATCAACTCTCTATTCTTAATTACATATGCCATCTTTAAAAAAAACCTTTAATAAATTTATATGATGATACAAAAATGAATACTCCTTCTACTAAAGGACTGAAGAAAGGTTCCTTCTATATACTGAAGAACATTAGGACAAACTAGAATGATCATTATCAAATTAAATCCCACATAAAGTAGCAACACTGAATATTCAACTTCCAAATACTCAGGGAAATATTAATTAAAAACAAAATATCATATTCACAAAGATTAAAAAATAACCTTGTCAGCTAAGGTTCAATGAGATGTTCATTTTAGATATTTTTAGTAGGAATATAAAATAGATTATAATTTTTCTGGGAAGAATTCAGTAGTCTTTATTATAAACCTTAAAAATCATTCATTTCATGTAGCTTAAGGACTCTTCTTCTGAGAAATTATTTGAGAAAATAATCTGAAATGATGACAAAGATTTATGTGTGCTTTTTTTTTGGGGGGGGGGTCTTGCTCTGTTGCCTGGGCTGGAGTACAGTGGTATGATCTCAGCTTACTGGAACCTCTACCTCCCAGGCTTAAATGATCCTCCCACCTCAGCCTCTCAAGTAGCTGGGACTACAGGTGTGCACCACCACACTGTGCTAATTTTTGTATATATGTATATATTTGGTAG